TTCGTTGCCCAGGCTGGAGTACAGTGGCATGATCTTGACTCACTGCAACCTCCGTCCGACTCCCTGGTTCAAGTGATTCTCCTGCCTCAGCCTCCCATGTAGCTGGGATTACAGGCATACACCTCCACGACCAGCTAATTTTCGTATTTTTAGTAGAGACGGGGTTTTACCATGTTGGCCAGGATGGCCAGATCACGATCTCTTGACCTCGTGATCTGCCCACCTCGGCCTCCCAAAGTGCTGGAATTACAGGCATGAGCCACAATGCCCGGCCACCTTTTTTTTTTTTTTTTTTGAGACGAAGTCTTGCTCTATCGCCAGGCTGGAGTGCAATGGCACGACCTCGGCTCACTGCAACCTCGGCCTCCTGGGTTCAAGTGATTGGTCTGCCTCAGCCTCCCGAGTAGCTAGGACCACAGGCTTGTGCCACCATACTCAGCTAATTTTTGTATTTTTAGTAGAAACAGGGTTTCACCGTGTTGGCCAGGATGGTCTCCATCTCTTGACCTCATGGTCTGCTGGCCTTGGCCTCCCAAAGTGCTGGGATTACGCATGTGAGCCACAGTGCCCAGCCCCCCAAGTTCATGTTCTTAACCTCTGCACTCTACTGCTTGTAGTCTTTTCTTTCCTCTGTTAAGTAGGTAATATGGACTGTGTGGTTTAAGAGGTAGTAGGGCCAGTTCTGTTTTTCTCATGTGAAAAATGGGAAGATTTTGACCACTGGACTAGGAATAAAGAGGACTGTGATCTTGTCTTGGCTCTGCCACCAACTTGCCATATTTAGGCCTTCACTTTTTTTAGTTTTATTGTCATCATTCATTAAACAAAGGGGTTGCTCTCGATGGCCTCTGAGGTCTCTCTGAACTCTGATGATCTGTAATTGATCATAGGAAGTAAGAGTAACACTTGCTTAGCTCCTTGAGTTTGGGGCAGTGGTATTTATGAGTTCTTAGGGAGTCTGCCTTGTGCAGGCTAGATACCAGATTCTAAAGCAAGGGATGAGCTGCCTCCGTGAAGAAGGTAGATCTAGGTTTTTTTTTGAGGCTGGTTGCCAAGGGAACCCAGCCTCTGGCCACAGCAGTCAGGAATGGTTTGGTTGAGGCTTAGGTACAGATAATGAAAATAAGCCACACATTTAGGTTTCATTCCTTGCCCTGTCTTCCATCTCCACCTTTCCTTTTTAGGCTGTTAGTTTTAAACACGTTCATTTGTCAGATACTGTTTTAAGTATTTAGCTAAGTATTATATCATTTTACTTTTCATAGTAATCTTATGAGGTAGGTACTATTATTCTAAATTTATGGATAGTGAAACGGAGACAAATAGAATTAAGTAATTTGTACACATTTATTCAAGACAAAGTAGTATCAAAACTGTACTTTCAGCTACTAAGTTGTCCTGCCTGGTTGGATCTTTAAAAAAATAGGAGGAGGACTCCTTAGTTATTAGTGGTTTTTGTTTGTTTTGTTTTTATTTAGAATAAAAACTCTTAGAGCTGAAAAGAGCCTTTGAAGTAATTTAATGCAGTCCCCTTGTCTCCAGTCTGCCATCCAATTACAGGAATGCTTTCTATCATTCTGACAAATGATCTTTCAGGTTCTCTTTGAATACCTCCATTAATGGGGAAGCTTACTACTTCTTTAGGATATTGTTGTTGAAAAGCTCTCATCGGTAGAAATATAATCATAATTTTTTGAGACAGGGTCTTGCTCTGTCATACAGGCTGGAGTGCAGTGTTGGATTATAGCTCACTGTAGCCTTAACCTCCCTGGTACAAAGGATTCTCCCCCTCAGCTTCTCCCGAGTAGCTGGGACTACAGGTGCATGCCGCCATGCCTGGCTATTTTTATTTTTATTTTTTATTTTTTAGTTTTTTTAAATAAAGACAGGATTTCACTATATTTTCCAGACTGGTCTTGAATCCCTGGGCTCAAGCGATTCTTCTGCCTTGACCTCCTAAAGTGCTGGGATTATAGGCATGAGCCACCATGCCTGGCAAAAATTATTTTTTATTTGTTTTTATTTTATTTTACTTTTTTGAGATGGAGTCTCGCCCTGTTGCCTAGTCTGGAGTGCAGTGGCACAATCTCGGCTCACTGCAACCTCTGCCACCCGAGTTCAAGCGATTCTTCTGCCTCAGCCTCTCCAGAAGCTGGGACTACTAGTGCCCACCATCACACCCAGCTAATTTTTGTATTTTTAGTAGAGATGGGGTTTTACTATGTTGGCCAGGTTGGTCTTGAACTCCTAACCTCAAGTGATCTGCCTGCCTCAGCTTCCCAAAGTGCTGGGATT